GTTTATTAGGGAAACATTGAGTTAGGTTAGCACAATTCTATGGTAGAGTCAACTCAAGAGCATTAGAGCCCTAGTTTATGATTGTAATGTTGTGGTGGCACTATGTCTAGTGTCGTGATGCTTGAGTAAAGTTTTTATATGATTATATAAGTAGGATCCTTTTTTCATTGGTAAAAAGGAAGTTGTAGATCCACTGGTCATCTGTAAAGGTAGAAGAGTGATGTAATGCCAAATGACTTGATCAAATGCCATGACACCAAATCTTCTATAGCACTACAACATGGAGTTGAGAGAAGTTTATTAGGGAAACATTGAGTTGGGCTAGCCCAATTCCATGCTAGAGTCAACTCAAGAGCATTGGAGCCCTAGTTTATGATTGTAATGCTGTGGTGGCACTATGTCTAGTGTAATGATGCTTGAGTAAAAATATTTTGTGGTTATATAAATAGGATTTTTTTTCATTGGTAAAAAGGAAGTTGTACATCAACTAGTTATTTGTAAAGGTAGTAAAGTAGCAATTAAGAGTGGATAAGAGAGTGGGGAGTGATGGTGCTTAAGGGGAATCATTATGAGAAGAGTCCATTGTGTAGAGACTTACTTGAAAATGGTTACCCAAGTGATACTTTCTCCACTACCTTCTTATATATATATATATATATATATTTCTAATATTAGTAGTGTAATTTGTTTTGTATTAAATAATTTCTATGGCCAACTAAAATCATTATTTAGGCTTATTATGTGAATAAATTGTGTTATTCCTAATGTAGATGCTTACTTTTAAAAATATTTACGGTTGTTCTCAATTACTCTTAAATGTCATTTAATTTATACAATGACCATGTATAAAATTAAGACCTACTATGATTCATTGCCTCAATGGAGGAATATTGAAATAATTTTTAGCATTGAGATATAAAACTTTCGTTCCTAGATATATGATGAATATAATTCTAAGGTCTATGGAGAAATAACCACTGTAGAGGGGTGAAAGCCTTTCTTTACACCCTTACAAGGTCAACAAAGAGATAAGTGATCATTTGCTTTGATAGATAACTAGTATAGTCTACTTAAGAAAACATAGCATAGTTCATTATCATGAGTCCAAGACATTTTATTCTAAGTAACTTCCATTTTTTATATCATCTTTAGTAGTTATAGAACCTCACATTCATTTTGCACAGTAGGATAATTTTTTTTCTTGGGTAGACATTACTAGAGCATTCGTAGAGTACACTATTTCCTCATGGGATCAAAACTATTGTTATTTACTTTATTACTTGATCGATATGTGCACTTGCACAATGCATACATAACCAATGAACAGATATACAACTATACCCATCAACCCTTATCTCTAATTTCAATTCCAGTGGTTTTATAAAGTTATGGATAAAGATACATTTTTCTAATATTTTATAAAGTTTGCACTACATAACATTTGATATTGTGTCGTATGCTTTATCCCAATCATTTTGATTATAAGAATTTAGATTTTCATAGGTTAGTTTTTCTAAGTAATTTTTTGAGTGTATAAACTAATTGTGGCTTTTCTAGTAATTACAATAATTAGATAAAAGTTTTTAAATGTTTATATGAATATCCATATGAGATGGAATAAAATTTTAGCATTAAATGTATTAAATAGGTTTTTATTTATATTCGAGATGGAAAGATATTTTAAAAGAAAAATTGAAGCAGACAAACATGAGAGTATTTATAGTGATAATAATGCACAATCAAAAGAAAGTTATATTGAGCTCAATTTTGTTGAAATCCGTTTAGATCCTGAATTAAGAAAAAAGATTTGTGATAATCATCCAAATGAGAGAGATACGGCGCAAAGATTTTATTTGCAAATAGGACCATGTCAGCTTAGAGATCATGATTTTACATGGAAACTATTGGGAAATAAATTATGACGATTTAATCCCACATGATTTTATGAACACAAAAAATTGGTTAGAGTATAATATTGAAAAAGAGAAACTTAATGTTTATATTATTATCTCTATAGACCTGAGTTTGGAGTATTACTTGGCATTTGGAGTATAATATTGAAGTTGGAACTTTCTTTTTGATTGAAAAAGATGCAGCTTACATAAAAATTGGTTAGAGTATAATATTGAAGGCTAGAGATGATAGTTCTAACACAAAAGGATTTAAGAATTGAAAATAGATGGGTATTTTTCAAGTTCATATTAGTTAAGTTAATAGCTCCAACAATATTACTTGGCATCAATATGAAGATTTGATGAATCAAGACCTTAATATTAGGTTTTCTTTTAAAAGGCCTTTTGATCAAAATCCTAGAGATTATAAAACATGTTTAAATGCTAGTATAGATTGCATACATTTTCTTTACATAAAGGTTTAGCTTTTCATGGTCATGATGAATTTGAAGATTTTAAGAACCAAGGAATTTTTTTTAGCCCCTATGATTTTTAGCATGCCACAACAAAGATATAAAGAAAGTTATATTTAATAATGCCCCTTGAATAATAAATTGATTGCTTTAAAAATATGAAAATAAATCACACATGATGCTACTGCAGAGACTTCAAATATCATAATTCAGGAATTAGACAATGAGTTATTTGTAATTTTTTTGGATGAATAACGTGATATATAAATCAAATAAAAAGCTGTAGTTGTATTATTACATGTAGATATAAAAGGTTGTGTTATTAAGTGTTTCAATGGGATTGTGTATGTTAAGGAGACTTCTGCTTCAACTCTAAAGAAGGTAATTTAACCAATTCTTGTGAAATATGGATTGAGTATATCTCGATTACATGGGAAAGGTTATGATGGAACTAGCAACATGCATAGTGATTTTAACATACTAAAAGTTTTGATCTTGAAAGATAATTGCTCGGTTATTTACATACATTTTTTGCACATGAGCTTCAACTAGCACTAGTTGTCGTGGATAAAAATCCTATGTAAATTATTTCACTTTTTAATATAGTTTCTTATTTGATAAATATTATTAGAAGTCCATACAGGAGAAGAGAAATGCTATGATAAAAAAAGTATAACAAAATCATTAAACAACTAAAAAATGACAAATAATCAAGAGGTAGAGGCTCAAATTTGGAAGTAGATATTCAATTTGTTGGAGATACACATTGGGGTTTACATTATGGATCACTTATGAAATGAATACTTTTGTTTGGATCTATCATTGAACTTCTTGAGTTAATAATACAAGATGGTTTAAGTAGTGAGAAAAAAGGTGAAGCATATTCCCTTCTTGATTCTATATAATGCTATGAATTCATTATAAATTTTCATATGATGAAGATTATATTGGGAGTAAAGAAGGAGCTATCATAGGTGTTGTAAAGAAAAGTTCAAGACATCATAAATGCCATGAATTTGGTAAAAGTATCTAAGTAATGATTCCAAAATATGAGAGATCATGATTGAGACATTTTTCTTAAGGATGTTTGTTTATTTTGTGAGGTAAATAATATAGATATTCCATATATGAATGATACTTTTGTAAGGTGAGGAAGATCAAAGCAAAAAGTTGATGATATCATAAATAAACATCATTATCAAGTTGGATTATTTCACAATACAATAGAAATAAAAATTTAAGGACTCAATAATAGATTTAATGAAATAAATATAGAGCTACTTATTTGTGTAGCATGCTTGAATCCATGTGATTCATTTTTAGCTTTTGATAAGACTTGATTGATAAGCTTGGTAAAGTTTTATCCATCAAAATATTTAAATGTAGATCTCATAATGTAAGACAACTAACTTGATAAAATTTATTATTGATATAAGATCTAGTGCTGTACACATAAGTATGACTTGGAGGACTTGATCAAAAGCTAGTGGAGACTAAAAAGAGTGATATTTATCCTTTGGTAATCCTAATTATAAGGATTTCTCTAATTTTGTCAATTACTAAAACAACAGTCGATTGAACATTCTCATATTTGAAGATTATAAAGAATTGTTTACATAATCATGTGAGAGACTCCTGAATTAATGAGTTTCTTATTATATATATATATATATATATATATATATATATATATATATATATAAAACAATGTAGCTCACCTTGATCTATTGGTTGGCAGCTTTTGACTATCAACCAAAGAAGTCTTGGGTTCTAGTCTTGAGTTTGTGATGTGTGTGTGAGTTTGACTTAATTTGCTTAAATGTCCCAAAAAAAACCTTATTGCAGCTACTTTTAAGTGATTGAAACTATTTCCTTTCAGTTCGGTGGTACTGTTGCTCCATTTTAGAAAGGAAAACTTAAAAACCTTAAGTTTGGTTCTTGCTTACTCACAATGTTTACCAAGAAAAAGAAAAGAAAAGAAAAGAAAAGAAAAAGTGATGTCTGATATCAAAATTTTAAAATGCGAAAGGCAGATCTTCTCTAGCCATAAATAAGAGGTGTTACAATATGAAGCTATATTCGAAATGGAACTTAAGGACTTAGGGGAGTTTATTGTTGTTTTTTTGTTTTTTTTCATCTAAAAAAAGAAAGATATTTGTGTGCATATTTATTCCTTGTTTTCATAATATCTCCAAAACTAGTGAAAACACCCACTTGTTATTTAAAAAAATTTAGAAATACACTAATCTGTTTCCAAAAATAAAAATAATTAACCATAAATGCTTCCTAAATTTTGTTTTTGAAAAGGAAAAGAAAAAAAAGCACAACCTAACATGCTTTCTAGATTTTAGGGTCTGTTTGGGTAAGCTTTTTTAAAAACAGATGCAATATTTGTATGAGGGATGTGTTTATCTAAAGCAACGTTCTAAAAAGTACTTTCAAAAACAACTTTTTCTCAGTAGAAAACGTTCTGATGTGTAGCATTACTCATCTTTCTTCAAATTCATTAACAAAATTAACAGCTGCAACAAACAAACTGATAATTAATCTTATTAGTTGACTCTTCTTAATAGGATAAATGCACCATTCAGGCTGTAATATAGTTCATCACACTCATTGTATTTCCCCCCTGCAGGCATGAGATTGCTGGTATTGTCATTGAGGCTGGGTGCAATGTTCTCAAGCTCAAAATTGGTGACACAGTGGGGGTTGGATGCTTGGTAGGTGCTTGTCGTTCTTGCGAAAAATGCGTCCAACATAAGGAGAACTACTGCCCCAAGCTGGTATTCGCCTACAACTCGATTGACATTGATGGAAAAATCACCTATGGAGGCTACTCGAACATCATCGTTGTCGACGAGCATTTTGTGGTGAAGTTCCCTAAAAACTTTCCCATAGACCGAGGTGCGCCATTGCTCTGTGCAGGGATAACAGTATACAGTCCCATGAAGAATTTTGAGCTCGACCAGCCTGGAAAGCACATTGGCGTTGTTGGTATATGATATGTTTATATTTTATAATGTAGTTTTTGATACATGTAAAAAATTGCACACAATGTTTTCTTATAAATTTCACTAATTTTGGTACATATGAAAAATTTAAATGCATTAAGATGATACAGTCAAATGATTATTGAGTGTGGTTTCTGATGTTATTTATGTTATATATTTTATAAAACTTGTCTATGCTTGAAAGGCTGGCTAGAAATGATTTACAAATTAAGGTTGGGTGGATACATGTTACCCTATACAAGAGGGTGAGGTGACAGGCTTTTATTTAAAATAATATTTTTGATATAATCCTAAATGATATAGAAAGGGTGTCATAAGGAAACTTATTAAAATAATATGACACACAAATGGATATGAAGTGACGTCTTCTGATATTAAAGCCACCTGATCTAATAAAATTAATTTAAAGACATTTGATATCTATGGATCACATGATTTACTTAATGTACATGCATAATATTGACACTTTATGACATGCATATGAATATGATAGGTATATAAATTTCCTAAATTGGGATAGATAAGAAACTATTATATAACTAATGGGTATATAAATGATTAATTTTATTGACCCCTTATATTTTGTTACCGATTTCTGATTACTGCTCTTAAGATATATAGTTGTACTAACATTTATTGATCATATGACTTATTAATATTTCATTGATTATTACATGCTTTTATAATTATATGCTCATACTAGTATTGCTTAATTAAATGATTACTTTCATACTATTTCAGTTTTAGGTTTTGCTAACCTACTGAGTTATCAGCTTACTCTGTGGTTTTACATATTTTTTATGAAAGGGTTAGGAGCTAGTATAGTGAAGGCAGATTGGAGATTCAGGTTTTATTTTATTTTTATACTTCCTTTAGTTTTAATTTTTGATAGCCAGGAACTTAGAAAGTTGAAATGAATGTAATAATTGATCTTTTGGCTTCTATATATGAATTTTAAAGGATGAATGTAGTTTTATATTTTGATGTTAATTTTTAATTTCTTCCATTGGATTGATTGGATGAATTTATAGAAAATATGGTTAGTTAATGGTAATGATTCTTCCAAAATTAGACCTTGGGGTGTTATAAAAAAAGAAGAGGAGAGGAGAGAGAGAAGAGTGAGGAAACTTTCTAAGGCTTATTCTTCTATCACTTTTATTATAAAAATTATTTTAATCATTATAAGTGACTTCTACACTACATCTAATTTTAATGGTTTTGAGTTTGGTGTATTTCTCCCTCCTAAAATTGTTAAAAATATGATACCTCCCATTTTAGTTAGCTTTTATCATGTAAAATTTTTTATGTGATAGATATTATTATTGTGATTATTTTGACTGGCTTATATTAAAGTTTCACTAGCTAATTTGCTTTCTCTGATATTTATATAAAATGAGTAGGAAAATTTTGATAGTAAATTATCAGTTGTTAATATACTAGATCATGATATTATTATTAGAAATGTGGCTCCCTCTTTTATCAGCACCCTTGAAGAGAAGTGTTATCATTTGATGTGGGGTTTGAGACTTAGTCCATGACATTTGTTAGTGCCATTCCATATCTTTGATTTTTTGAGCTATTAGAGAGAGATGGGTTGGTGGAGAATGATTTGATGTCCACCCAATAATGGTGGGTTGCCAGTAGGAAGAGAACTAGTGGAGAGTCACTCAAGAGTGTGTTGAGTGGTAAGAAGACTAGGTTGGAGAGTAGTGATTTGAGGAGGGGAGGACCTAGAGTATTGCAACATATAGGATGATATATATTAGTTAGTAGTGCTCCTATCTATGGTTTCTATGGGAGGAGGAATATAGGTCAATGCTTTTTACATACTAGCCAGTGCTTCATATGTGGTAAGGAAGGTCCCAAGGTGGCAAAGTATTTATAGAGAGCATTGGAGGGTAAACCTACAGTCAGGGGTAGCTTGAGTAAGAGAATACAATCAACCCCTTCTAAAGTAGTTAGTGAGGCTTTGTCAAGCTATAGTGCAGATAAATTTTTAGGGAGACCATTAGGTGAATCAATAGGAGGAGCTCACTGGAAGTTGATTCTAGTTTATGGTAAAGTCTTGATGCAACCTAGAGTGTACAGTCTAACTCATTAAGAGGCGAAGGAGACACCAGATGTGCTGACAAGTATGACATTTATTTCTACATTATTTTTTCATATTTTATTTGATGTTTGAGTGAGTCATTCTTTTATATTTGGGCATGTGTTGGATAAATTAGGTTTATTTATAGATTTTTTAGCCTCTAATTAATCTATTTTGCTATCCACTAGAGATTTTTTAGTGGCTAGACAAGCATGTAAGTGTAAATTTAAAACTAAAAATAGGAAGTTGAAGTTAGAATTGATTGTATTTCCTATAAATAAGTTTGTTATAATAGTGGATATGGATTGGTTGAGCAAATATTAGGATTAGATAGACTGATGCAAGAAGTGTGAATTTGTGTGAAGGTAGGGAAATATTTTATTTTTTGGGATACCCAGAGTGTCTTTTTCTCTCCTATTTCTATATTACAAGTGGGTAAGACCTGGAGGAATGGGAATTATATGTTTTTGGCACATGTGAGAGCTTTAAAGAAATTTATTAAGGGTCCTAAAGATGCTCAAGTGGAAAAAGAATTCCTTCATATTTTTCTTGAAGAGGCATTTGGATTGCCTTCTAAAAGGGAGGTATACTTCTATAGTAAGGTGGTGTTAGGTACAACTTTAATAATAAAGACACCTTACAGGATGGAACCTAGAAAATTGCAAGAGTTGAAGGTGTAGTTGCTTGAGTTGTTAGCTTAGGACTTCATGAGACTGAGTGGATCACCATGGAGAGCACTTGTATTGTTCGTGAAAAAGAAAGATGGATCTCTGAGAATGTGTATTGATTATTTGGAATTGAATATGGTGACAATAAAAATAAATATTCACTACCCAAGATAGATTATTTTTTGATCAATTATAAGGTGCATCAAAATTTTCTAAGGTAGATTTGTGGTATGGGTACCATTAATTGAGAGTGAAGGTAATAGATGTAGTGAAGATTGAAAGTGTTATGACACACAAAATGGTGGGGTGAATGGGACATTTTAAACTTTTTGATGATTGTGCAGTGGTGTTGAGAGTGTTACTACATAAGAGGAGTGGAACCCCAACTTTGAGCTCGTGGGTTTCTGGATAGAAAAGTAGACTTAGAGCGAGTGCTGTGGTGCTGAGTAGCTCCTTCATGGCATCGAGTTTGATGCAGTTAGTACTGCAATACTAAGAAGTTTAGTTCCATGGTGATAGGTCAAGTTAGTGATTTTTAAATTAATAAAATATATTGATCCATTTATTAAACACATTACCTTAGCCACCTCCCCCATTATGCCCGCCTTACAAGGAAAGAGAGGAGAAAGAGGAGAGAGTGAGATAATAGAGAGAAAGTGGTTTAGAGTTTTTTAATTATTGGATGTATTTTGAGATTTCTTCTAATTGTGGCAGGTAACTTGAATCATGCCTTTATATTAATGATTTTGTGTTTTATGAATTTAATCACCCAAAATTAATAAAAATGTAAGTTTCTCTCAATTTTTTGTGATTTTGCCATGTAACCTTTTGTTTATAATAGTTGATAATGTTTTTGAGTATTTTGAAAATAATAATATGGAATTTCATTTTTTTTTTTGAAGAAAATGCAACTTGTATTAGAACAAAAAACCTAGATACAAACTACTTAAAGAAAAGGCAACCTATCACATTCCTCCTTTAACAAAGAAACAAAATAAGGAGGAATATTATTATCACTAAGTACATCCCAAAGAAGAGAGAGAATTAAGAGAGAGAAGGTACAAGAAATTATGTAAAAGTTACTGGTTTTTCAAATTTGATTTTGTGGGTTTCACGGTTACTCTGACGGTGGCTGAGGGTTACCGGCCTACTTTGGTCGGTGGTCCTTTAAATGTCCGACATCCTCCTTCAGGAAACGTTCGTTCATTCTCATTATGTCAACTGGTATTTGGTGACGGGATAGCTGGCTTTGCTCAAGGTACAAAATTAAAGCTTAAAAGTGGAATGCCATTAATCATCAATGAAGGTGGTTTGTTGTCATTGAAGAAGGATATTGAAGTTACTGGTAAGGGAAAGAATGTGATAGTTGAATACAATGTTAAAATCCATTTCAAATCTGGGTAGATTCAAAATTTTAGAGGCGAGTCAGTGTATAATGTGGCTGCTTCTTATTCATCAAAGTCTTTGATTGTAATGGATAAAGTTAAAAATGACAGTTATGTGCGTAAAGTCTTTGGGGGTTGGCTTCCAATTGTGTTCATCTGGGAGGAATAAGCTCACAAGTTAATCAAGTTGATGAAGTTATTATGATTGAAATAGTGGTGAAGGTCCTTGCAAAACAAATGAATATGTGAAAGAATTATATTCAGACCTGATAAAGGTTCGAAATTGTAATTCAGAAGATCTGGGTGATTGTGTTGGTGGTCTTGCAGCAGTTCCATCTCGACCATCTAGTACTTCACAATAAAATGCATAGATTAAGAAGGAAAACATAAAAGTCCTTGATTTAGACTTTAGTGATAGCTTTTATTATGATGGTTTATCCGTTAAACTACATTTATATAATGAAATGGAGAATTCTAATAAGCTTCAGAATTTATTAGTGATCAAGTCCTTTGATGGAAATGCTCCTTTTCCAGTGATTAGTTTGGAACTAAGAAGGCAATGGTCCCAATTTGATAGATTCCCTCTCACAATGCTTGGTATGGATTGGGTTCTATGTTCATTTTACGAGACAGAGCCTTCGGAATTAGTATTCTCTAATAGGCCTTGGTATGTTAATGGGCATATCATTGGAATTAATAAATGGTCGCCAACCTTTTCTCATACCTCCTTAAAGGGTTTAATTACTCATATTTGGATTATGATGCCAAATCTCCCATTACAATGTTAGAATGAAATAAATGTTTACAAAATTGCATCTATGGTTGGGAAGCCATATTTGGTTGATGGAAACATGTTTCAGTGGGGAAGAAGGGAGTTTGGGAGAATTTGTGTATGCATCAAGTATGATGCTAAATTGCCACTAGGTGTTTGGGTGGAGGGAAGCTCTGGGAAATTATTTCAGAAGATTGAATATGAAAGACTTCCCAATTTTTGTTTCAACCATGGTAGGATTGGGCACTTCAAGAAGGATTTTTAAGAGAATAAAATGGAGGTTAATGCTTCTAAACAAGTGGATAGTTTAAAAATTCTAGTGGTGGAAGATAATCCCAAAGCTGCTCATAAGGTTGTGGTTGAAGGTTTTTGTGATGACAAAAGAGGTTATGGACCATGAGTTCATGTTAATTATGGAAAAGGAGGATTAAAAATCCTATTCTTAGGAGGATTAATCCCTGTCTAGTGGAGGTTACTATAAGGAAGGAACCTGGATTAGTGAATCCCAATTCTAATGTAAAAGAAGCAGAAGGTATCAAGGTTTCAACTGAAGGAGGTTTTATAGAGCTTTTTCAGGGAGTGACTGAAGTCTATCCTTCAGTTCCTGCTAGAAGCTCAGTTCCATAATAGAAATAAGTTCAAAATGATGCTCTAGTTTTAGACTTGATTTAGGAACTTTCAGAGGAATTACTGGCTTCAAAAATCAAAGAGGTTATGTTTACTAATACATTTGTTATTTCTATTACTGAAAGAAAATTGAAAGTCTTAGATGGTTTGGTTGAGGAAGAAGAATTGGTTATCCCAAAGAAAGTTGTTTCTACGTCACTTAGCAGTTTGGATGGGAATAATAAACTGGGAGAAGTAAGTATGAAGATATTATGGGTGCGTTGAATGGTGATTTGTGAGGCAAAGAAGGTGGTTCTTCTAATGTGAAAAAGAAAGGTTCTAAGCAACTCAAAGGATTGGGTCCTATTAACTTGGCTCCTAGGATTAGGAGAGTGGATGGTGATCAAAAATATAAGTGGGGATTTCATCCCCTCTGATTCAATGATGTCTTCTATAGCTTTTTGGAATTGTAGAGGAGCTAGGAAAAAGAAAGCTTCTCTATATCTCAAGAAGTTTGTGAAGGATAATGGTGCGTTTTTTTTTTTGGGTTTGTTGGAAACCAAATCATCTGTTATTGATAGAAGGGATGTTGATTTGTTAATTGGTAATGAGTGAGATTTTTTTCAAGTTTCATCAGAAGGTTTATCTTGGGGCATTCTGTTGGTATGGAAGTCTAGCATTGCGACTTTTAATGTTTTGGAGTCCTCTCTTCAATTTGTTATTGGGAGTTGGATGTTCTTAATAAAGGGAGATGGAGGATTGCTTCAATATATGGGAATAAGGATGTTTATAAAAGAAGGATTTTGTGGGAGAGGTTAGAATTTTATTCTTATAAGGACTTGCCTATGATAATAGGGGGAAAATTTAATTGTTTACTTTCCAAGGAGGATAACAGGGGAGGGAAAATATTTTCCCTAGGTCATAAGGAAATGAAGACATTTCTATCTTGTAATAATTTTCATGAGATTGGGTATGTTGGACCAAGGTTCACTTAGTGTAACAACAAAATTGTTGCTGATCAAATTCTTAAGAGATTGGATAGATATTTTTTGAATTCAGCTACATTAAGCTCTTCTCATCGTATAGTGGTTAGGCACCTGCCTCGTGTTGCATCAGACCACTGTCCAATCTTATTAAATCTCCTAGATTTCAATCCTAGGATTAAGAGAACAATCAAATTTAAAGATGTATGGGCTTCCAACTCAGCTTCAGCTGCTGTGGTGAGAGGAGTTTGGGAGAAGAATTTGGCTGGTAGTTTGTCTAAAATCTTGAATTCCAAGATGAAGAAGTCTTTGAAGGCATTGTTTTATTGGAGAGCTAATCATAAAACTTTATTTCAGCTGAAGGAATGCCTATTGAAGGAAATAGAGGAGCTTCAAGTAAAAGAAGCTAATAATGGAGGCCTTTTGGATGTTGATAGCTGGACTCTCAAAGTTAAGGTGGGAGAACTCAACTCTACCTTGGCTCGATTGAATACTTGGTGGAGATAATGAGCTAAGGTTAAGTGGTTGGAGGAGGGGGATTGTAATTCCAAATTCTTTTAATCTTATGCTTTTGCAAGAAGAAATTCTAATTACATTTTTCAAATTAAAGATGAAAATGGAGACATGGTGGAGGATCAGCATCAAATTAAAGAAGTTCTATTTTGGTTCTTCAAGGAGAAGTGGAAAGATAGGAATTTTGTACTTGAAGGTTGGCCTTATCCGTGGAAGTGTTTAGAGGATGGAGATATAAGAATGTTGAGCAATGAATTTGCTTTAGAAGAATTGGAGGTTGTGATCAAGCAGAGTGGCAATAAGACTGCTCCGGGTAGTGATGATATTTCCTACTCCTTTATAAAATCTTATTAAAACATTATTAAAATAGATTTATGGAATGCTGTAAATCTGTTCTTTATGACGGGAGATATGGATTCCAGTTGGAAGAAGACTCTTATTGTACTAATTCCTAAGGTGAGCAACCCTTTGGTTCCTTCAAATTATAGACCCATTAGCTTGTGCAACACAATTTTTAAGGTGGCGGCCAAAGTACTTATGAACAGGTTGTCTTCCATTATCCCTAAATTGATTTCTAAAGAGCAAGTTACATTTTTGAAGTGGAGATCATTGTTGGTCATCTGTTGGTAGCTCAAGAGGTTTTTCATAAATTCAGATATTCTAAATCATCTAAAGGTTTTGTTTCCTTCATAATAGATATGGAGAAAACTTATGATTTTATGGGTTGGCCTACCTTGGTGAAAGCTTTGGAGTATTTTGGGTTTCCTTCAATATTTTCTAAGCTAATTTATGAATTCATCCAAGAGCCAAGATCCACTCTATTGATTAATGACAATCTTTCAAGTTATATCAAAACTAGATGCGACTTCCGTCAAGGTTGCCCCTTGTTTCCATTTTAATTTCGTCTTTGCTCACAACTTTTATCTAATGCATTTAGACAAAAAGGAGAATCTATTGGAATTTGTGTGAGTTCAAATGGGCCAAGGATCTCTCATTTGTTGTATGCAGATGACATTATTATCTTTTCAGAAGCCAAGTTAAAGGTAGTTAAGGAAATTTAAGCTATCTTGGATGAATTTTGTGGGTGGACAGGGCAAAGAGTTAACGTTAATAAGTCTTGTATGTTTTTTGGCAAATATGTTAGCTGAAGGAATAAAAAATCTATTTCTCAAATTATGGGATTTAGATCAGTTAAAGAGTTGTTATACCTTGGGGTGAAAATAGTTCTGAGGAGACTAATAGGGGAGGATTTCCCATTTATTATTGATAAGTCTTTGAGTATGATAAATATTTGAGGAGGAAAGTTTATTTATTTAGATGGCAAAATCCTTCTTGTCAAAATAATTTTGCTCTCTTATATAACCTTCCATTGTACAAATTCTTTGGTCCCTAAAGGTGTTCTTGATAAAGTTGATAAGTTATGCAAAAATTTTATTTGGAATAAAACGAATGGAAGATTTGGAATGTATTATATGAATTGGAATGTAATGTGTTAGCCTTTTAAGTGGGGAGGTAGAGCTCTTCATTCATGTTCTAATAAAGCTGGGGCATTGAGAGCCAAGCTTGCTTGGAAGTATATTCAAGAGATGGATTCCGTGCTGCATAAAGTTATTTTTCCAAAATATGGTTCACTTTTTATGGATGACACGTCAAAGAAAGGTGGATCTATTGCTTGGAAACTTATATATGATGGAGGTAAATCTCTAAAGCCAATTGTTAGATGAAGCATTGCTAATGGTGAGTCAACTGATTTATTCAAGGATACTTGGGTTCTGGACAAAAGCTTATGCAGGTGGCCAACTTTTATTCTCCCACATGGTGACTTCTTGGTTGGCAAATTCATTTCAAAAGGCTACTGTAATATGTATGAACTCAACAAATTCATTTGTATTGAACTTGTGAAACTAATATGTCAAATACATATTTTTTCAGATTTGGGAGAAAATAGGATGGATTTAATATTCCAACAAGAAAGTCAAATTCTGCACTCGTATTTGAAGATTCAGTTTAACATAATTCTCTAGTTCAATACTGGATTTGGATTAGAAAGGCTAAATTGATTCCACGGGTAGAGATATTCTGGTGGAGAGTTTTCCATTATGCTATTCCTACTTATCAATTCCTATCTTATAGGAGATTGTAAAGGGAAAATGGGTGTCCTGAAGCTATAATGATGTTGAAGACATTGAGCATGTTGGAGTTAAATGTAAGAAGCTATTAGAAGTTTTACAACATCTTAATATATGTGGCGTTTTTTTATCTCATCCTTTATTTCATTTGAAGATTGTTGTAAATGACTGTCTAAACAGAATTCTTTGCTAGTTAATTTATATCGAATGTGGTTTTCTTTTCATGGAAGGTGAGAAACAAGATGATTCATGAAGGAAAATGATGAAATTTCATTGGTGATTGCTGTTAATGCCATGAGCTATGCCTCAATTTCTCATTCTAGAGCTAATTTTAACTCGGGTATATGGGGTGCTAACCAACCTTTTAGGTTGTCAAATAACTATTGGCATCCTCCTCTACCCGATTGGATCAAAGTTAATGTTGATGCAGCGTTACTATCATCTTATAAAGCTGGAATTGGTGGGGTTTTTTGTGACTACAAAGGTAGATTCCTTTTGGCATTTGATCTTGCTTGTGTTCACTAGGATGTATCTAGATTGGAGCTTTTAGCTACTCAATCTCTTAAGGAGGTGATAAAAAATTGGATGTACAATTATAAGGGGATCATAATTAAAAGTGACAATGCTAATATCATTATGTTTCTTCAAGAGGAAAAATCTAGTGGCAGTCAGAGAATGAAAGCTCTTACTTCTATCAAAGACTTCAATCATGTGATTTTTAATTATCTAAATAGGAGTTGTAATAAGTTAGCAAACTTATGTGCTAACTATGCTCTTTTTAGTTCTTTTATTTATTAAGACATTAGTATGAATAAGGTTCCTCCTTTGTTTCTTTCTTTATTAAAGGAGGAATATGATGTTTATAGTTTGAGCTTGTATTTCCTTTATTAGTACTTATTGCAGTTGGTTGCATTTTGTTCAAAAAAAAGTTCATCCCAAATAAAATCAAAAGAAACATCTAAGTTAGCACAATAATCAGCTTACTTATTCCCATTATGACTAGTATATTGAAATAAGACATTATTGAATACTTTAAAGAAAAACAAATCCTCCACCACTCGGTCCCCCAACCTCAACTCAGAATTTACATAGGATGCTTGAAGAAACTTGATAACATTCCAATTATCACCTTCAATAATAATGCCATCCGCGTCTTACATCCACCTTTGCATAACTTTCTTCAAGGATTTAAATGCCATCAATTCCAATTATTCAATATACCAATGTATACAACCAAAACCAAAGGCCAAAAAGAATCTCCCTTTATTATCTCTAACCACTCCACCAACTCCTACTTTATTAGATCTCCATAACGAAGCATCAATGTTAATCTTAATCCACGCGGGAGGAGGATGGTTCCAAGATGTGGAAAACAGTCGGGAAGACTGATTAACACCCCAATTTTTCTACATGATCTTATTAAGGTGAAAAGCGACCACCAAATTAATTACTTTTGAAGCAATAAAAGTAGCACTATCTTCCACACCACCATGCTTGACTTTATTTCTTCTATTCCATGAAAAGTATAACAAAGTATAATATAACTTATCTTTAAATGGATTAGTAATAGTAAACCTTTCCAAATCCTTTATGCACTCTTGAAAAGAACATAAAACTGGAACATTGAATCCCCAAGATTCAGATAATTAAAAACTTGAATTAGTTGTAGATAAGCAGTAACTATTGTTGCGGATCAATGGTTTATGATTTTGATGATAGCAAATATTCCTTATTTCTCTATGATTGCCTTATGTGCTAACGTTTCAGGTCCACACGATCAGACTGAAATCTGGAACCAGCTCAAGATTGGGTAGACTAGGTCTGTGTCAGTTTATAATCTTTTTTCCTTTCTTGAGTCTGTTGTATTTGATGTGGCATCTGAAGATTTGTAACTTGGAAGATTTTCTATTGTGCCCTAAAAGATTTCTATTTTTGGTAACATTGTCCGGGACGATATTTATATCATCCTGGACGATCTGAAAAAAGTAGAAATCCAAATTAGGGCATCCTCATCAAAGCAGCCATCTTTATGCAAAACACATCGTCCTAAATGATTTTGTATCGACCAGGACGATTAGCTCAATTCAGCAAGAATCTGCCGCCATATCTACTTAGGAAAATCTTATTTTTGGATATCGTCCTGGTATATCGGCCTGGACTATAAAATATCGTCCTGACCGATCCAGGTCAAGTTTTCCAAAATTCCTCAGGCAGTTTTGGAAAGAAATTAATGGGGATTTCGTCCAGGCCGATCACAAGATCGTCCGGGATGATTAGACATCGTCCAGCTTCATTTCAGGGCGATATTCAGGACGATTTTCCTCATATTTGAACTAATCGGCCAGGACGATTTGTCTATCATCCTGGACGATAATGGCGGCAACTTGCATTAATGAGCTCGTTTTGAGAGCTTCTATTTAAGCTATGGCAAGCACTTTGTAAGTGTCTTTGGCAGCCATTGTAGCTTCGTTCTTATGGGGGAAACTTGAATAGAGAGCTTGAAAGGGAGAGAGGAAGGGTGGAGTTTGAGAGGGAAGAAGATCTGTGAGGGGGGGGGGGGGGGAACTCAAGGGAGTGTGGAGGGGATTCCACACGGTTGCTCTGGCAAATTTGAACTTAGTACCATCAGATCAAGGCTTGTCTTCGAGGTAAGTTCACCAAAGAAGAAGATCTCCTTGTGTCAAAGGACCGGCGACTCGTTGCACCGGGGATGATGGAAGTGATTTTGTAAGGGCTTCTCCGCCTAAGCTGTGGGGACTAAAGGAGAAGACACTTGTTTTATGCAATACTTGGAGGGTGCCTCCAAGGAGTGGACGTAGGTCAAGGCTTGACCGAACCACTATAAATCCGGTGTGTTCTTTTTCT